AGGAAGGAAGGAAGGAAGGAAGGAAGGAAGGAAGGAAGGAAGGAAGGAAGGAAGGAAGGAAGGAAGGAAGGAAGGAAACTTAACACCAATCCCTCTGGCAGTGATACAAAAATTCTTAACAAAATACTTGCAAACCATAAAGATCACACTTAAAAGATCATATATTGTAACCAAAATGGTTTTATCCCATAGAGGTAAGGTTGATTCTACATACATGGACCATAAACATAACATCAATATTTATAGACTTAAAGACAGAAGTCGCATAATCATTTCAATATATGCATAAAATGGATTTGGTAAAGTTCAATGTGCCTTCCTGATAAAAGCTCTGAATAATCTTGGAACAGATGGGACATACCTCAATACTTTATTTCGTGTGTGTGTGTGTGTGTGTGTGTGTGTGTGTGTGTGTGTGTGTGTGTAAGTATACACACATATATATATTATGTGTGTGATAAACATATAGCTAATATATACTAAATGGGAAAATACAATAACATTTCCTCTAACACCTGGAATGAGACAATGGTACCCACTCTTTCCACTCATATTCAATATAGAGCTTAAAGTCTTAGCAACAGCAATGAAATAAAACTATAAAATGAATTTTAAAAACTAGAAAAGGACAAGTTAAACTATCTCTTTTTGTAGGTGACATGATTCTATACTTAAAAGACTCCATAAATTCCATAGAAAATTTTTAGATCTGATAAACCCTTTCAAGTTTCAGGACACCCAATCAACATGCAAAACTGAGTAACTTCTGTATATACTAACAGTAAATTTGCTAAGAACAAGTTGAGAAAAATGCCCCCATTCACAAACATTTAAAAAATACATAGATATAAGCCTAGCAAAGAGATAAAAAATCTCTACAAGAAAAACTTGAGGACACTGAATAAAGAGATTGAAGAAGACACTAAGTGATGGGAAAACCTTCCACACTCCTGGACTGTCAGAATAAATATTGTGAAAAGGGCTTTAGTACCAAAAGTAATCTACATATTCAATGCAGTATCAATCATATTCCAATGACATTTTCATGGAACTAAAAAAGGAAGTCCTAAAATTCACATGGATACACAAAAGGCCATGAATGTCCAAAGCAGAGAGAGCATAGCTAGAGACATTGCATTATCTGATCTCAAGCTGCACTACACATTTATAGCGACAAAAACAGCACAACACGGACACAAAAGTAGACATGTAGAGCAATCGAACACAACAGGGCACCCGGAGATGAACCAGCACAGCTATGGACACAGTTTTTACAAAGGCTATCACGAGCCAAGTACCGGGCAAAAGACCGCCTATTCAACAAATGGTGCTGAGAAATGGAATATATATTTGTAAAACATGAAATTATAGCCATATCTCTCAGCTTGCACAAAAAAAATCAATTCAAACTGAATTAAACACCTTAACTTAAAACCTGAAACACTGAAACCACTAAAGGAAAACATGGGGAAAGCACTTTAGGACACAGGCCATAAATATAGCCAATAATTAGAACCCTAATAACACAGGAAACTGTTCCAAGAATTTACAAATGGAGTTACTACCTGAAATCTGAAAGCTTCTGAAAAGCTAATGAAATTTTCAACAGAGTGAGCAGACAACTTGCAGAATGGGGGAGAAAAGTCTTTGCAAGTAAAAGCAATACTTCAAACAAGAGGTTAATATCTAGAGTATATAAGGAACTGCAAGAACATAAGACCAATAAATAACTATGAATCTATAAATGAGTCATCAACAGAATATTTTTCAAGAGACGAAATACATATGGCCAATAAATAATTTTTAAGTCTCCAAATCATTGCCCATCCAAGAAATGTAAATTAAAGCTACTTTGAGATTCCATCTCCGGTCAGAATCAAGAAAGCAAATTACAATAAATCTTGGAAAAATGTTGAAAAAAGGGATCCCCTAGTCACTGCTGATGAGAGAGTAAAATTATAGTCACTATAGAAATCAGTGTGACAGCTTCTCAATATTCTAAAAAATGAACAGACATAAGACCCAGCTATACCACCCCTGGACATATATATACTAAAATGACTCTATATCCTACCATAGAGACAAGTGCACATCCATGTTTATTGCTGAAATGGAATCGGTCTACATGTCCATCTATAGATAAAGGATCATTAAAAATGTGGCAGATAAACACAGTGAAATAAATACAAAAAAATCAAGAAAATTTGAAGATAATGTGCAAAATTAGAAAAATATTATATTTGGAATCAAATAGACAAATACCTCACATTTCTTTTCATATGCTGATCCTGGCTTCTAAATGCTCAAGTTGTGTATTTAGGTGTATACAGAGGACAAAAAACAATAAAGAGGCCTATGAAATGGAAGAAAATAGGCTTTGAGGGAGTGTGGTAGGGAAGTTAATAAAAACACATGTGATATGAAAATAAAAAGAGGAACACTGGGAGCAGAAATGAACATGGAGATGGGATAGAAGGAAAAAGGGGTGGGAGAGAGGAGCAGGGGAGAGTGGCAAGAATGATCCAAAAGTAAGCATGCATTAAAACAACACAAGGAAGCCTGCTATTCTGTGCTGTGTGTGTGTGTGTGTGTGTGTGTGTGTGTGTGTGTGTGTGTGTGTGTGTGTGTGCGCGCGCGCGCGCAAGGACATGCATATGTGGCGGTGAGAGGACAGTCTTGAGAGATGCAGTTCTCACCTTCCACCGTGTAAATTCCAGGGATCTGACTTGATGGTAAATGCCTTTCACTGTTGAGCTTTCTCCAGTCCTGTGTATTTTTTTCCATTTATTTAAAGTTCAGAGAACTAGCAAAACTTAAGAAGCATTTTTTCTTCCAAAATAACCAAAATCTAAGAACCAATTTCTAACTTTATTTCAATACCATTGAAAACTACCACATTCAGGGGGGAAAAGTACAAAAGCACATAAATTATCTCTAGTGTTTGAAGTTTGATTCTAGAAGTAATATTTACTGTGTACTCGACAACGATAGGCATACAAGCATTTATACTGCCATCTACTCCAAGGTAGATGGGATAAATACAAGCATTTATACTGCCATCTACTCCAAGGTTAATTCTAGCTGCAAATCTTTTTCTATGAATGTTTTCTTCCTCGTTTACATGGAAAGAGAATGGGAATACTCAGGAATAAGTGCAAAGAGGCTGACTGTCTTTAATTATTTCAAAACAGTTTGCCTTTTGCCTCTTTAGCAATTTGCAGATAGAATAGGGTGGCTAGATTCCAGTTCCCAAAACAACTCCTTGTCAAACTAACCTTCTTATCTTCTTTATTTATGCTCAAAGTACTTTTGAGAAATCCCACTTGCACCTCCCAAAGTCATTTTACCTATCAATAGACCCCTGAATCTTAAATTTTGGATTAATATTTCATCTGTGACCTAGGCTTTAGTGCCACTCAGTGTTCAAATCCTAGAACTGCAGCAAATCAAACCACCAAAACCTGTCGTAATTTAGACGTGTACTGCAGCCTCATAATACTTTCTTAGGATATAATGCTATTAATTCAAGTTTCTGATCCCTGCCTGCTTTGTGCTTCATACTGCACATAACAGAGATAAGAAATTCACCATACACTAGACACCTTTTGGAGCTTCGCTCAGGAGAAATGAGTGCCAGAGATCTTTTTTTGTTCTTTCTCAGATTGAATCATCTAGAACTGTGCCATGCTTCCAAATATAAACCGACTGACTGAAATCAGAAGAGAGATTATTTTCTCAAAAGGAAAAAATTCAACTGCTCAAGAGCAAGATCCTAACGAAAGTATATAATGCTTCCAGAAAGTAAAATATAACAATGGAGTTACTGAACAAATAATGAAAATAAACCAATTATGAACAATTAGGTTAAATCATCTGAAATATTTTCACAAAAATATTCTATGCCAGTGGAAGGGCAGGATGTTCATTTGTGTAGGAAAAAGACAGGATGAATGCTGGAAACTATGTTACAAAAGAATGAACAGGGAGAACTTTGAAAGGAAGAAAATATATAAAAACACTCACAAATAGAAGATAAATATAACCATTAAGAAATTAAAGAAAGAAAAATATATAATTTGGTAGGAAATCAGACTCTGAAGAATTCACATAGAATTTTTTGTTTTGTTTTGTTTTGTTTGTTTTTGTTTTGGCTCACCCTGTAGCCCAGGCTGGCCTCGAACTCACAGAGATCTGCCTGCCTCTGCCTCCCAAGTGCTGGGATTAAAAGCATGTGCCACCACAGCCTGGCTCATAGAATTATAAATAAAGCATCACTCAAGCTGACCTAAAATAACATACTAAGAACTGGTCATTTTAAAAACAAGATAATTATCCACTGTGTGCCATCTAGCAGGAATTAAAACAGTATGAAAAGATTGGCATTTTTCTTTTGCAAATATCTAATGATGCTTTTAAAAATCTTACATATAACAAGAGGTCATTTAAAGAAAATTTTATACTGCCTTTAGTGTAAAAATTTAGAAAATTAAAAAAAATCTTTTTTTAATTTTATAATTTAATTTAATTTTACATATCAGCCATGGATTCCCTTGTCCTCCCCGCCCCCCCCGCCACCTTCCCCCAGCCCACCCCCCATTCCCACCTCCTCCAGAGGGTAAAGACTCCCCTGGGGATTGAGTTCAACCTGGTAGATTCAGTTCAGGCAAGTCCAGTCCCCTCCTCCCAGGCTGAGCTAAGTGTCACTGCATAAGCCCCAGGTTCCAAACAGCCAGCTTGCGCACTGAGGACAGGTCCTGGTCTCACTGCCTGGATGCCTCCCAAACAGTTCAAGCTAATCCACTGTCTCACTTATCCAGAGGGCCTGATCCAGTTGCGGGCTCCTCAGCTATGGTTCATTGTTCATGTGTTTCCATTCATTTGGCTATTTGTCCCTGTGCTTTTTCCAATCTTGGTCTCAACAATTGGGAATCAATCCCCCCCAAGACCCAGCTATATCACTCTTGGGCATATATCCAAGGAATGCTCAATCATACCACAAGGTCACTTGCTCAGCTATGTTTATATCAGCATTGTTTGTAATAGCCAGAACCTGGAAACAACCTAGACGCCCTTCAACTGAAGAATGGATAAATAAAATGTGGTACATATACACAATGGAATACTACTCAGCAGAGAAAAACAATGACATCATGAGGTTTGCAGGCAAATTAATGGATCTAGAAAAAAAATCATCCTGAGTGAGGTAACTCAGACTCAGAAAGACAAACATGGTATGTACTCACTCACAGGTGGATACTAGATGTAAAACAAAGATGACTAGACTGCTACTCACAACTCCAGGGAGGCTACCTAGGAAACAGAACCCCAAGAAAGACACAGGGATTGCCCAATGACAGAGAAATGGATGAGATCTACATGAACAACATGGACGTGAGTGGGGTAATGAAGGGCAAGGATCGAGGGAAAGAGAGCTTAGGGGAACGGGAGATCCCAGCTGGATCAAGAACAGAGAGGGAGAACAAAAAAAAATGTTTTAATACCCTTACTAGCTGGAAAACATCATCATTGGTGCTTGGTATAAACCTTTCAATCTGTAGGAATGAAAAACTGTATAGTTTACAGGTTAAGAACATGATTCCAGAGTCAGACAACCCAACAGATGCTAAGCTTATAATTCATTACTGAATGAAAGACCTCTCTAAATCTCAATTTCCTTATTTGTACAATAAACATGACAGTTCCTAGCTCTACAGAAAGAAAGATGGCCTGGCATGCACTGCATGCACTGCATGCACTGCATGCTCTTTTGCAATTTCAGGGTGGTTTGTAAGGATTTTTGCCTTTGATCACCATATATGTTGCACCATTCTTTCCAATTGTCTGTTGTCTTTCACTCTTGTTTGTACTGGATTTGACAAACAGAGGGCTTAGCGTTTTTATAGTAAACCTATCACTTTTTTCTTCATGATATTTGCCTTTGGTATTATGCTTAGAAAGCAACAGATTTAAAGAAGGAGTAAAGATAGTACAACTCTTTGAGGAAAGCAAAATATATCTGGCATGCATAATGTGAAGAAGAGAAAACCCAACATCCCTCTTCTCCTGCACCTCTACTGAGCATGCACCATTTTAAAAATCACTTCAACTAAAAAAGGAATTACCACCTGAAAACCTCCCAGTGATCACAGGGTATCCAGGTCCTTGGTCTGTCTGAACCTTGATCTTAGACTTAAATAAATATTCACAACCATAGTCAATACATAGTAAGTGGAAATTATTCCCTTTTTTAACAAATTTTCCACATGACAGTGAAACATTTATAATAAATTACTCTGAAAATGCAGAAATCACCAGAAGCATGCATATCTGAGAGAAATAGGGTTGCAGGTACAAGTCCCTTTCCCTCACCCTCAACAAAGCCACATGAAGACTTTCAAAGTTTAAATAAATCATAAATAAGTTATCACTTCTAGTAATTTGAATCAGGATGATATTTATTAGCAGAGGACATGATACACAAGTTTGAATAGCAAATGATGACCTGCCTCTTGTTTGTGTCTCATACAATATCATTCATTCATTAGTTTGTGAGAGTTAGTATTTAATCAATTAATGCCTCTGAATTAAAACTATTAGACAAAAAGAAGAGATAGAACCAATCTTAAAAGTACTTGAGGCAACCAGATGGAAGCTGAGATAGTCTAGGACTATCAGAAAGTTTTTAAAGTAACTCCACCCCTGCCTTCAACCATTACTTCCTTTATGTAGAAAATAATAATAATTCTGAAAAAGAGGATTTAGTCTTTGCTGGTTGTGGGGGGGTGCATGCCTTTAATCCCAGCACACAGGAGATAGAGGCAGGTGAATCTCTGTGAGTTCAAGGACAGCCAGAACTACACAGAGAAACCTCATCTCAAAAAACCAAATGTATATGCAGAAAACCAGTTGCAACTTTCTAATACTTTTTTTCAGATTTAGATTAATACTAACTCAATATTAATCAGATTAGGAAAGATTTGTGGTTTTGTTTGATTGGTTTTTTTGTTTTTTTGTTTTTTTGTTTGTGTGTGTGTGTGTGTGTGTGTGTGTGTGTGTGTGTGTATGTGAGTGTGTGTGTTGTGGTACTGGAGATAAACCCCAGGGTCTTGTACATGCTAGGCAAACATTCTACCACTAAGCTATATCCCCACCCAACTAATTGTTTGAAAGTGTTTATTTTTATATTTGTGTGTGTGTGTGTGTGTGTGTGTGTGTGTGCGTGCGTGCGTGCATGCGTGCGTGCGTGCGTGCGTGCGCACCCGCCCATGATCCCACAGCTAGGGAGTGCAGAAAGGTGGATCTCTTCAACTTAATGGTCAGTCAGGCTTGCCAATCAATGGACTCCAGACCCAGTCCCATAAAGTAAGGGGGAAAGCAATGGAGAAGACATCCAACACTGACCTCGAGCCTCCAAACACACATGGACACCCACACAGACATGTACATGCACCACACACACATACCAAAGTGCAGCTCAGTGTTATTTTTCATAACTTTTTATAATTCATAAAGGAATTCAAACAAAAAGTTACCACTAATCATATAGGGATCTTTTCCAAATAAGCCACTTTAGAAACAGCAGGAGTAACATATTATACATTTTTATTTTATTTTTGAAATTATAATATAATTACAACAGTACTCCCTTCCCTCCCTCAAAACTCTCCCTTATCCTCCTACACCCCTCTAAATCCATGGCCTCTTTTTTTCCACTAATTGTTGTTACAGTCTTATAAGCATATACATGTATCCTCTTAAATATAACCTGTTCAGTCCATATAATGGTACTTGTATGTATGTTTTCAAGGTTGATGGGACACCAGACAACCAATTGGCATGCTCTTCCCTGGAAAACACAACCTCTCCACTCCCAGCTTTCCTCAGTTGTCTGCAGTTCTTTGTGTAGGACTGAGGCCTCACAGGCTTATTCCAACCACTATGGCAAATCCATTGGTGCCAGGCCATGTTTCTGCAGTCATGTTAATGAGATTTTAATGGGTGTAGCTTTCGATATTAGTAGGAGACACAATCTCATAGCAAACTCCCTGATCCTCTGGCTCTTAAAATATGTCTGCTCCCCTCTTACACAATGTTACCTGAGCCTTGGGTTCAAGAGTGGTATGTAGATGTATCTATTGGGACTGGGCTCCAAAACTCTACATTTTGATTGGTTGTGGTTTTCTGTAGTGGTCTCCATCTGTTGCAAAGAGAAATTTCCTTGATGAAGGGTGAAATTGTGTTTAAAAATCTCGACGTTCCTATTATGTATATATTGGAGACTATAAGAAGATTCTGGTTTTCTCAAGGTCACAAACAAGTAAGCAGCAGCATATCAATGATGAATGTTTCTCTTAATCTGCTGCTCCATCTACATAGTATATAATTTCTGCCATAAACATCTTGAAATATGTAGGAAGTCATAAGAATTGCTAATACTACTTTTCAGCACTGTCATATTTTGTCCACTGAGCCAACCATACCAGATGTCTTTAAATAAAAGATTTAGACAGCATAAAAATAAAGTGTTATTGTATATGAGCCTCTTAAAAATATAGCAATACATTAGAAATACCATACAGTATTGTGAGAGAAGGGAATGTTTAAAATATGAATGAAATATAGTCAGAAACACAAAAAAATGGCCATAGGTGCAGATAATGAAGTAGAAAATAATGAAAAAGTAATGGAAACTTGGCATGATAAAATACATTTATCTAGCATAATGAGCTAGAAACATACATTCCCATTTGTCAAGATAAATATGGACTGTTTTGTTTAATATGCTCTTATCAGTATATAATTCTGTTAGATTCTTTAAAAAAATTGTTGATTAGTAGGCTAAAGTAGTTAAGAGGGTAACAGAGTTGTAAGGTGACTATTACACTAGCCAGGTACTACCAAATGTAAACATCCAATACTAACCACTACTGAAGATGAAATCTGAGAACAGATCTGAAACAACAGCTTTTTCTGAGATTACTGTGTCTCTCTCCTAGCTACACACTTCTATCTAGTTACTTTAAATATTTAAGCAAACATTCCTCTCCCATTGCTTTTTTTTTTTTTTTTTTTTTTTTTTGGTTTTTCGAGACACAGTTTCTCTGTGTAGTTTTGCACCTTTCCTGGAGTTTACTCCTTAGCCCAGGTTGGCCTCGAACTCACAGAGATCCGCCCGCCTCTGCCTCCCAAGTGCTGGGATTAAAGGCGTGCACCACGACTGCCCAGCTCTTTCTTTCTTTAAGTTTATTTATTTACTTATTTGAGAGAGGAGGCTTGTATACCTAACTCAGTGTGCTTGCAGAGGTGAGAAGACAACCCAAAGAAATCAGTTCTCTTCTACCATATAGGTCCCGGGGACTGAATTCTGGTAGTAAGTCTTCATGGCAAATGCCTCCACCCAATGAACCATGTCAACAGCCCCTACTTTCCCCAGTCTTATGGCAGATGATCATGTACAACAGATAAAGGCAAAGTAGTAAGTCTTAACACCCAGTACATAGAAAGAGAAACTAAAGAATGCATGTAGACATAAACAGAAAAAAAAGCCATTTGGGGATTTTTCATTCATTTTCTCTTTTCTTTCTCTTTATTATTAATTTTTTAGTTTGCATATGAATTAATGATTTGTTACATTATATATATATATATATATATATATATATATATATATATATTACTATACTTTTCATATTTGCCCAAAGATTATGTTTTTTGGTGTTCATTCAAGAGTATAAAACCTTCTTAGCAAGGCTGTAGCTGGAGTTTTCCTTTGTCCACCCAGCTCCTGCACCAGCTCAGACCCAAGTAAACACACAGAGACTTACATTACTTATAAACTGTATGGCCATGGCAGGCTTCTTGTTATCTAGTTCTTATATCTTAAATTAGCCCATTTCTATTAACCTATAAGTTGCCATGTGGCTTTTGGCTTACCGGTACTTTACATCTTACTTCTCATGGCAGAGGCAGCTGGTAGCATCTCCTGACTCAGCCTTCCTGTTCCCAGAATTTCCTTTTCTGCTTATCCGGTCTATACTATACTTCTTGCCTGGCAACTGGCAAATCAGCATTTTATTTATCAATCAATCAGAGCAACACATTCATAGCATCCCCAGCACATGGCCTTGAAGATTTGAAGGTATTTTTGGCCTGATCTTCTACTGTTCACAATATGAAGTCCTTGCTCCTTTTTTATACCAATTCTTGCCATTTTCCATAAGCTCAAAGTAATGTTATGCTACTCTGCCTTTCAACAAACTATTCTTTTCACTTACATCATCTTCTAATTAATTAAAGACCTACTTCTTCCAGACTTACCACAAAATGTTGTAAATATTTTCTTACTTGAGTAGAAGCCTCTACTAGATGTTGAGCTAACAGGAAAAAAATAATCATGCTTGTCCTTAAAGTGTTAACCCTAATCACACTGCCAGGTACAGGGTTACATATGTATGTTTGCTGAGTGCTTAACAAATAAGCAAATATTCAATCAGTATTCAAATTTGTTTTTCTTTCCTTTCCTTTCATTTTTTAAAATATTGACAGAATCTGTTTCCTTGTCTTTTCCCCCCTGTGCTGAAAGCTATCCCATTCTCATTTTGTGTTTTATTGGCATGCATTAGTTATGCATAATCTGATATTCTATTATGAAAGTTGCACAGCTGCATAAAATGTATTTTGATTATATTCACCCTTATCACCCTGTCATCCCCCTCAGACTTCTACTGATTCTGCTCCTTTTCCCAACTAGTTCCAGATCTATTTCCATTTTCACAGGTTTGGTTTTATTTTGTTCAGTGACCTTCTGCCTTTTATTAAGGTTACTACAGAAACATGAATAAGAGATTACTTACACAACTATGGGAAACTTATCCATAGCTGTATCCTCTAGCAGCCATTATTAACTGCCTACAGGAATTGGGGGAGGGGGTTCTCAGAAGTCTATTCACTGGTAATCATTAACTGTCTATAAACCTTTGGAGAGGGATTTAGTCACCTGGGCCCTTCCTTACTCCCTTACTCCATGATAAAATGTTCATGGGCCCTATCTTGCACAGGTCTTGTGCAGGCAATCACAGCTAAGTGTTAAAGAAAGCAATGGCCATTATGTCAGAAGGACATCATTCTACACTATTCCATCCCTTCATCCAGCTATTAAGTTCTTCCCATCCACCTCTTCCATGATGCCTCCTGACTCTTACAAGGAAGGGATGTTGCAGATTTCTCAATTAAAGCTTAGAATTCAACAGTCTATAATTCTCAGCCCTTGGACCAGAAAATTATCCCATTCTTATGCCAAGAACTCCTTATCTCAATAATATTTTTTAATCTGTTATATTTTAAGACATTAAAAGACAGTATCCAAATAAAAGGAGATATAAGTACTTTCCTCTTTCCCATACTAAGTACAACTAAAAACCCTGAACATTATACAAAGCAAACAATAAAACTCAGAGATATAGAAATAAGGCAGACTGGCCTGAAACTTCAATACCCAAGGAGTAACATGTAAATACCCCTAATCATAATGCATCCAAGAAAGGAAAAAGCAAGCTGACTAGGAATCTTAATTTCTTTTCTATTGCTGTAATACTACACCATGACCAATGCAACTTATAGAAGAACCAGTTAATTGGTGCTGCTTTAGTTTCAGAGAGTGAGTCCATGACTATCACGGCAGGGAGCATGGCATCAGGAAGGCATGGCACTGGAGCTGTAGCTGAGACCTTAAATCTTAACCAAAATTGGAGGCAGAGAAAGAGAATCTGGGAATGGAGTGGGCTTTTGAAATATCAAAGCCCAACCCTGTGACACATCTCCAACATGGTCATACCTCCTAATCTTTCCCAAACAGTTCTGCCAACTAAAGACCAAGAATCCAAATATATGAGGCGAGAAGACCCACCCCAAAGGTAGGCCAAAATTTCTGGTAGCAGCCTATATAAAAGAGCATGGGGAAAGGAAGCTTGTGCTTTTTGCCTACTTGTGCTTTCTCTTACTGACAAGTTCATCTATCCCACTGGTTACATTAGAACCTACTCTTTCAGGATTCCAATAATAATTTTTGGGACTCGATACTAGCTGAAATACCCAGCCTCGTGGACTGAACAATTATCAGACTCATCAGGAGACAGCCATTATTGGAGCATCCGGAATATAGCCTGCAAGTTACTCTAACACATTCCCTTTTAGTTTATATAGGTTCATTCTATCAGTTCTGTTCCTCTAGAGAACACTTGCAAATACAATACAACAATTAAAATGCTGAAAACTAAAGGCAAAGAAAGGGTCTTACAAGCAGCTAAGATACCTTACATAGAGAGAAAAAAGAGTTTCTAATCAGAAATCCTAAAAGCTATAAGGAAGTATCACAATAAACAATTATAATGAAATAATGAGAACAATTCAGGTTATATGTAAAATTGGATTCAGTAAAGAGAAAGGAATATTGAAGAAAACCCAAACTGAAGTTAACCTGGAAATATTTTTTAAAAATCCAAGAAGTCTAAGAAAAATAGTAGAAATCCTCACCAAACTGAATGGATCATGCAGAAAACAAAATATCAGGACTAGAAAACAAGGTAGAGAAATTTTATCATTCAATCAAAGAAAATGATTTTCTTAAAAGTTTTTAACCACAGGAACAGAATGTTCGAGAAGTTTGGGACATCAAGAAAAGATAAATCTATAAATTAAAATCTCATAGAAGGAGGGAGAGCATTTCCAAGTAAAATATATGGACAGTATTATCATAAAATCATAAGAAAACTACCCAAATCTAGGGAGATGATCACTCAGGTAGAAGAGACACACACATAGACACATAGACAGGACACAAAAAGAAACTCTCTGAGCTATTCTATAATTAAAACATTAAACACAGAACAGAAACGGTACTGAAAGCTGCAAGAGAGAAGGGTCAAGTCACACAGAAAGGCAGGCCCATCAGAATAACAGCTGGGTTTTCAATTGAAACTTTACAAATCAAAAGAGCTTGGAGAAATGTGCTTTAATTTCAAGAAAGCAGAGGCCAACCTGGACTACTTTACCTGCAAAAATTATCATCTGTCATAATTGAAGCAAAAGAAAAACCTTTCCTTAATTAAAAAAATTTATGACCACCAAGGCAGCCTTACAAAGATTATCAGCAGGAATATTTCATATTGAATAGGATAAGAGGTAACAGAGAGGAAATAAATAATGACAGGATGGTGATTATGCAAAGAAGAACTAAGGAAATAAACAACATAAAATCATCATTTCTCAACAATAATTTTGAATACTAACAGCCTCAATTCCCAATCAAGAAGTACAAGATACATTGGCACAGGAGACAACTTCCTGAACAGACAATAGTAGCACAGACACTAAGATCAACAATTAAACTGTAAGCAAGGCCCCAATTAAATGCTTTCTTTTGTAAGAATTGCCTTAGTCATGGTGTCTCTTCATAGCAAGAGAACAGTGACTAAGACAATGGTGGACTGAAGGAACAATTAGGAGCTCACACCCTGATGCACAACCATGAGGCAAAGAGAGATTACTGGGAATCCCATGAGTCTTTTGAAATCTCAAAGTCCACCAACAGTGACACAACTTCTCCAACAAGAACACACCTCCTAATCATGCCCAAATAGTCTGCCAACTGAGGATCAAGTACTGGAACATATGAGCCTACGGGGGCCACTCTCATTCAAATCATCACATCCCACTCCCTTGCTCCCACAGGTCCATGGCCATATATAGCATAATGCAAAATGCCTTTAGCCTACTTCAAAAGCCCCCATAGTCTTTCAGTTTCAACATAATTTAAAAGTTCAAAGCCTCTTCTGAGACACAAGACAATCTCCTAATTGTAGGAGATTAGTAGACATCGCATGGCTCTGACAATATATCTTGAGGTCTTCAATTAAATCCCAGGCTTCAATTTCACAGTATCACACAATGGTCTCTCAAGGCTTCCATGTGGGACTCTATGCCACATGCCTGGCCTCAGAGGCACTCTTTAACCAGGGAGGAAGACTCCATAACCATTTTACTCATGTATCCTTCATGACTCTGAAGCCTGAACCATATGGACAATACTACTAAGTCTGACT